TGACAAGTGGAGAGAGTGGACGGCTCCATTCTGCGCCTTCTGTCAATGCAAATGCAGCCATTGTAATACCGGTACCTGTACCGGGAGGTACCAGCTTCGAGAAAGATTTGAACAAGCGATCAATTGTTCTCAAAGAGGGCGTTGTGCTTGTTGCCTGCGGTTACCGCATTTTGTCTATAAGCTGTGTCTGATCATGATTTAAATGTATGCCCTTAGAAAAAGTGCTTATGTCTCACAATACTCACTTTGTCCACCAATGTCTCACAATGTTTACTAATGTATCTACTCACAATGGTACTCTGTGTCTACTTATCATTTTGTCTATTAATGTCTACCAATGTCCCACATTACTTTGTCTCACTAATGTCTACCTAATGTATCACTTTGTATACCAATGTATCACAATGTATCACTTTAAAGCATGTCCAATTCCTAAACTAATAGTCTGAATACCTAAAATGATTTCCTGTCTCAAATGTATCTTGTCCTTACTAATTCTGTAGACATCCATAATCAATGGATCATTACGCCAAGAGCAAACAGACAGATATTGCGGAGAATAACCCCTGCGCTCGAACTTTGAACTGTCCGAATTACTGGTCCTGGTACTCGGGACGCGAGTCCGGTACGGTCGGTAAGGTAGCGCTGGATCAGCCAACGGAAGATCCAACAAGGTGAAAACAGAAATTATATTATTCCTTTCGACAAAAAAAAGTAAAGATCAGTTCATTTTGGACGATTTGACCAAAATCGGAAACAATCACTGTGGGAAAAGAATTGATACAATGAGTGGGTCCTGTGCAGCTGAAGGGTGATAAAGTACTCCTGGCAATTCCAAATGTGACCTTTTAAAACACTAACAGTAGGCTGTGCGACTTCTAATTGATGCGGCTGGCATGATTCTGGGCCGTCATTGAGTAGAACGTAAAGTTTGCATTGCATCTATTAAAAGTTTCAATCTTGTTTGCTTTTTGGTTCCTGGGCAGTGAAGGCATTCCAAAAGTTCCTCAGCAACACTGCTTCGTCTCCAGGGTCGTGTGCTTCAACTCCAGCAGCTGCCTCAGTTTCCAAAGCGGATGAGGCTTCTTCCATGGGTGCATCTTTTGCAGCTTCTTCAAAGTCCCAATGACCATCAAGTAAGTAAGGTAACAACATCCAGGACGATGCGGCAATAAGTAAAATGTGAGGAACAGTCTCCTAAATTTTAATAATCTCCAAAACGGTCTCCTAATTCGAGTTTTGATCTCCTATTCAACCTCCTATTTTGACCTAGACTACAAACCACAAACATGTAACAAATCTCCTAATTTTGACTTTGGTCCCAAAAATGGTCTCCTAAATTTTGATAATCTCCAAAATGGTCTCCTAATTTGAAATTTTGATCTCCTAATTTTTGATAATCTCCAAAACGTTCTCCAACCACAATTCCTCTGGGGATTGATTGCTGCATCGTCCTGGCAATGCAGTGATCATGTCATCTGTTTCTCTTTGGATACCTGCTCCAGGTGTTCTTCCAGTGTAATAAGATAATCTGCTGCTTTGGTCTTGATTGCCTGTTGATCTCTGTAGAAAACTGTCCCAAAGAAACCTCTCATGGTGGTTGTTTCTTTCTTCCACAGATGGGGCATTTTGGGTCAAACCTTGGCTTAGATGTACTAAGGAAACCTTACACAGAAGGAAGTGCGAGGACTGCAGATAAGGCAGGCAGAAGAGAACTTCATTTGTTGGCGGCCCAGATGCTGTGTGGTTGACTTGTTGGTTTGTTGTTGTCTTTGGTGTGGTGGTGGTGTGGTGGTGGTTTGCTTGATTGTTTTGAGTTGTTGTCTATGTTGGATTGTGAGCCTTTGTAGTGGAGGAGCGAACTCAGATGCTATGGCTTGTACATTTCTAAAGTTCCAGAAACGTATGCAAGGTGGTTCCGTGACCCGAAAGCCTGCAAGCATTTGATTGATTTTGGGATGGGTTGCCCAGCGGTTCGTGCTCATCATTGAGGACAGCTGCAGCACAAAACTAGCCCCGTAGCTCCGAGTAAGTGCGGGCACCAACTACTCCCTTTTCTCTCCTTGCATTGGCTTTTCTTTCATCCCCCCCAGGTGACAAGACTGTGGTTTTCACCATCTATCAAGCTAAGCTAGCTACTGAGTAGGTGTTACAGTAGATAGGCACTGTGTTCTTCCAAAAGGCAGGTGTCAATGCTCGGAACCCAAAAGGAAGGGAATTGGAAACTAAAATCGTGGTCACGAAAAATGCGAAGTGCAAGAGAATCTTCCAGGGCACTCCGGGGCTATTCTAGCCAGGGTGCATGCTGGGGCTAGCTAAGGTGCATGCGGCTTCTATTATGGCTTTTAGCCAGGCCAGCCACACAGCTTTGAAAAGAAGAGTTTTGGGTTCGCCCAACATGCATCCTGCCACCTGTCTATCATTGTAGTCGAGGAGTCCCCATCAACAGCAACGAATTATTTAGGAATAGCTACATGAGAGATCTCACGATGGGCTGGTATTGGCCCCCGGCCCCGTGCGAAAACATGCAACTAAACAAAGGGAAGCTGAGGATGCTGCACAAGCCAGGTTACTGCTGGTGTTGAAACAGGCAAGGAAGCGACGATATTGGATGAGAAGTTCGTAGGTTTGAGGGCATCACGGAAACAAACCAACAGCAAGCACAAGTTGCATTTGTTGTCCAAATATTCTAGCATATCTCTACTACGTGCACACTTTTTTTGCTGCATTTTTTATGATAAGCGCTCTGAGCGCGGTCACCCGTTAACCGCACAGTGGGTTTGTCGACTCCCTCGTACACCGGGTACATGTCGCACCGGCTCGAAATGGAAATCGATTCGATTCAAAGATTTCCAGAGTCCAATCGAACGTTTCTCAGATGGAACAATCGTTGGCAACTACTCAGTAGGCACAAGGCACAAGGCACAAGCAAGTACTTGAGCTGTTTTTGTGTATTTGTTTAGGTCCGTTCTCTATACCCGGTAAATAAGTGTCTGTATCTCCTCACTTATTTTAAAATCCTACTCAGAGTATTTTTAATACCAGGTTGATGAAGAATTGCTTATTAATAGTGATAGGCTTCTTTTTAATAAGTCATATCAAGTCATTGGGCATTACACACTACTCTATTAGCTACTCTATTCCTGATACTCAGATGAAAAGAACTGTCACCAAAGACACAACGATCAGAAGAGCACCACGGAAGACCTAGTGTAGAATTATAGAACATTGAGCCACAATGCACTAACGACCCCGGTATTAAATCGATAAGGGCGCATTTATAAAATTATGACGAGATTAGAAAATGCGCGGAGAATTGCCGCACGAGGAGGTTAAATTAGATTATAAAATATAACTCGAAATTTTCATGCATCGGTACCGCAATATCGTGACCTGATTCTGCCACTAGTCGAATACGTAGACTTCTACAGGGCCTTCTAAGTAATGCGCGCCGGGTATAATTCAAACCTCTGCCCCCATCGGTACCATTACCCCTAAAGCAAATCGTCTCCAGGAGACGAAATCTTTGGCTTCGGCGATGCGTTGGCTTAGCCATGGTTGTGAGTGGTGGTGATACTTAGCAAAATAGCAAATTGACAAGTGGAGAGATGTGGACGGCTCCATTCTGCGCCTTCTGTCAATGCATCAATGCAGCCATTGTATGATACCGGTACCTGGTACCGGTACCAGCTTCGAGAAAGATTTGAACAAGCGATCAATTGTTCTTCAAAGGAGGCGTTGTTGCTGTGTTGCTCTGGGTTACTCGGCATTTTGTCTATTTAAGCTGTTGTGTCTGATTACAGAGTTGCTTAAATGTTCTATGCTCCTTAGAAAAAGTGGCTTATGTCTCACAATATCTCACTTTGTCCACCAATGTCTCACAATGTCTCACTTTGTCTACCAGTGTATCACTTTGTATACTAATGTCTACCAATGTATCACTTTGTCTACTAATGTCTACAAGGTACTGTAAAACAGTACAAAATGTCTCACAATGTCTCACTTTGTCTACCAATGTCTCACAATGTCTCACTTTGTCTACTAATGTATCACTTTGTATACTAATGTCTACCAATGTATCACTTTGTCTCCTAATGTCTCCTAATGTCTTAAATCTTTTCAATGGTCTGTAGACATTTCCATAAGTCAAAGGATCACCTTATGCCAAAAGGCAAACAGACAGAATGCGGAGTAACCCTGCGCTCAACTTGAACTGTCCGGATTACGGTCCTGGTACGGTACCGGTAGCGGTACGGTAGGTAGCGCTGGATCAGCCAACGGAAGATCCAAAAAAGGTTGAAAACAGAAATTATATTATTCCTTTCGACAAAAAAAGTAAAATCAGTTCATTTTGGACGATTTGACTCAAAATCGGAAACATCATCCTGGTGGGACAAAGAATTGATACAATGAGTGGGCTGGGAAGGGTGATAAAGTACTCCTGCAATTCCAATGTGACCTTTTTAAAACACTACATGTACTGTGCGACTCTAAATTGATGCTGGCTGCATGATTCTGGGCTCTCATTGAGTAGAACGTAAAGTTTGCATTGCATCTATTAAAAGTTTCAATCTTGTTTGCTTTTGTTCCTGGGCAGTGAAGGCATTCCAAAAGTTCCTCAGCAACACTGCTTCGTCTCCAGGGTCGTGTGCTTCAACTCCAGCAGCTGCCTCAGTTTCCAAAGCGGATGAGGCTTCTTCCATGGGTGCATCTTTTGCAGCTTCTTCAAAGTCCCAATGACCATCAAGTAAGTAAGGTAACAACATCCAGGACGATGCGGCAATAAGTAAAATGTGAGGAACAGTCTCCTAAATTTTGATAATCTCCAAAACGGTCTCCTAATTCGAGTTTTGATCTCCTATTCAACCTCCTATTTTGACCTAGACTACAAACCACAAACATGTAACAAATCTCCTAATTTTGACTTCGGTCTCCAAAATTAATTGGTCTCCTAATTTTGATAATCTCCTAAACGGTCTCCTAATTTGAAATTTGATCTCCTAAATGTTGATAATCTCCAAAACGTTCTCCAACCACAATTCCTCTGGGGATTGATTGCTGCATCGTCCTGGCAATGCAGTGATCATGTCATCTGTTTCTCTTTGGATACCTGCTCCAGGTGTTCTTCCAGTGTAATAAGATAATCTGCTGCTTTGGTCTTGATTGCCTGTTGATCTCTGTAGAAAACTGTCCCAAAGAAACCTCTCATGGTGGTTGTTTCTTTCTTCCACAGATGGGGCATTTTGGGTCAAACCTTGGCTTAGATGTACTAAGGAAACCTTACACAGAAGGAAGTGCGAGGACTGCAGATAAGGCAGGCAGAAGAGAACTTCATTTTGCCAGATGCTGTGGTTGTTGTTGTTGTTGTTGTTTTTGGTGGTGGTGGTGGTGGTGGTGGTGGTTGCTTTGATTGTTTTGAGTTGTTGTCTATGTTGGATTGTGAGCCTTTGTAGTGGAGGAGCGAACTCAGATGCTATGGCTTGTACATTTCTAAAGTTCCAGAAACGTATGCAAGGTGGTTCCGTGACCCGAAAGCCTGCAAGCATTTGATTGATTTTGGGATGGGTTGCCCAGCGGTTCGTGCTCATCATTGAGGACAGCTGCAGCACAAAACTAGCCCCGTAGCTCCGAGTAAGTGCGGGCACCAACTACTCCCTTTTCTCTCCTTGCATTGGCTTTTCTTGCATCCCCCCAGCTGACAAGACTTTGGTGTTCACCATCTATCAAGCTAGCTAGCTACTGAGTAGGTGTTACAGTAGATAGGCAGTGCCACCCTGTGTTCTTCCAAAAGGCAGGTGTCAATGCTCGGAACCCAAAAGGAAGGGAATTGGAAACTAAAATCGTGGTCACGAAAAATGCGAAGTGCAAGAGAATCTTCCAGGGCACTCCGGGGCTATTCTAGCCAGGGTGCATGCTGGGGCTAGCTAGGTGCATGGGCTTCTATTAATGGCTTTTAGCAGCCAGCCACAGCTTGAAAAGAGAGTTTTGGGTTCGCAACATGCATCCTGCCACTTCTATCATTGTAGTGAGGATCCCCAGTCAACGATTATTTAGGAATAGCTCATGAGAGCTCTCATGCAACATGCAACTAAACAAAGAGAAGCTGAGGATGCTGCACAAGCCAGGTTACTGCTGGTGTTGAAACAGGCAAGGAAGCGACGATATTGGATGAGAAGTTCGTAGGTTTGAGGGCATCACGGAAACAAACACAGCAACCAAGTTGCATTTTTGTCAAATATTTAGCATCTCACTTTTTGCTGCATTTTTTGATAAAGCGTCTGAGCGCGGTCACCGGTTACTCGCAGTGTTGTCGACTCCTGTACCGGTACAGTCGTACCGCTTCGATTGAATGATTCGATTCAAGAATTCAAGATCATCGAACGTTTCTCAAGGAACAATCGTTGGCAACTACTCAGTAGGCACAAGGCACAAGGCACAAGCAAGTACTTGAGCTGTTTTTGTGTATTTGTTTAGGTCCGTTCTCTATACCCGGTAAATAAGTGTCTGTATCTCCTCACTTATTTTAAAATCCTACTCAGAGTATTTTTAATACCAGGTTGATGAAGAATTGCTTATTAATAGTGATAGGCTTCTTTTTAATAAGTCATATCAAGTCATTGGGCATTACACACTACTCTATTAGCTACTCTATTCCTGATACTCAGATGAAAAGAACTGTCACCAAAGACACAACGATCAGAAGAGCACCACGGAAGACCTAGTGTAGAATTATAGAACATTGAGCCACAATGCACTACCGGTATTAATAAGGCATTATATTAGAAAATGCGGAAATGCCCAGAGAGCTTACAATTACCAAAATCATTCGTACCGATCGATTACGTTCATAAGTACCAGCTAATCTGTACATGTACCATGTACCAGAGCCGTTTTCCACTGAGTGACGTACCTCTAAGTGTTGATGACACCCAAGGGGAGCATCGTTATTCGCGTCTTCGTTTTTCTGGTTTCGCCCTTTCTCATTCGATCTTCCCGCTTTCAAAAAACGCCGATTGCCACCGCAAAAAGTCCGAGGCTCTTCCATTCACTGTTCGCTGCCCTGTTTGTCCCTCCCTACGAGCACACCTACCTACCTCATCACAACCACCTCTTAGCCTTGGAATAGCTTAATTTTCATCTATCTATCTATCTATATCTGCGATACCGGTACCAACATGACGACGGAAGAAGTAGACGTAGACGATGTTGCTTCTGGTCTCTCAGAGACGGTCTATTGCCAAGAGGAATCACAAGAGGAAGTGCCTGCTTGTGCTAGCATCCGCAATGGATCTTGTGCCGATATCGCCGAGGAAGGCAATGCAAAAGACGATCAGAAGGCTAATGCTTGTATCACCTCTCCTGATCAGAAGGAGTTTCCTGACGCAGCCAGCGCCTCTCCTGACCATCAAGCCAATGGTGGTCCAAGCTACCCCCAAAAGACGACGGCCCCCGCCGCGCTGGACCATGCCGGCACTGACGACGAGAAGGCTTCTTTCAAGGCAATGCAGCACGAACACGAGCTCCAAGATACCCTCCAGAAGAACCAGAAGCGGGGCAAAGAGCAGAGCCCTGTCGTCACCAGAGTGAACCAAGATGGTGACAACGCACTCACGGACTTGTTTGTCAGCGAAGTTCAACCTTTGCCCACAACGTCCGCTGCCTCTCGTCCCAGAGGCCCGGGGGCCCACGCTATGCCGGGCAGTTCGTCTCCTCCTCCCATGCTCTTGTTGAGAGCTCAAGAATCGCTGCAGTCGCAAAGGACACAAGTGACTGTGGCGGAGGAGCAAGAGAGTGTCATTCATGATGTACAAGTCGTAGATGCCGTGCAGGATTCGGCACACTTTTCCGTTCATGCTTCGGGGATGTTTGGCTGCGGCGACCCCAGTAGTACCCACTTTACAGATCTCGAGAACGGAGGAATGGGACCCTTTGCGGAAGAAGAAGTGATTGACGCCAAGATCCTCCATGGGAAACACGACGAAGAAGAACCCCAAGGATCCTGGAAGGCGTGGTTATGGATGTTCGCCGCCTTTTTGCTGCTGCTGATTGTGCTCATTGTGACGCTGGTGGTGGTGGTCCCCAGGTGCACGCACAGCGGCAACACCAGTCCTGAAGCCTCGCCTTGGAGCCAAGGTCCTGGCGCTCCTCCTCAAGACTGTCCTGTCAAACCACCCTTTCAAGAAGGCATTCCCCTTGCTACTGTCCGGTTCCTTTCCGATCCCAAGCATCCCCATTGTTTTGCCAACAACTGGGTGCTGAATGACACACCTCTTTTGATTAGCTACTCGGGCACTCCCAATCAGCAAGGTTCCACTCATCCAATCCAAGCAGCAGTCGCCAAACAACGGCAACGCTACCTAAGCGCCAAGGCACACTTTCCCAAAGTTCCCGTACCGAACGATCCGTATCCGGACGGCAAAAGTCAAAAAAATCCAACACGCCACCACCACTGTAGTCCCCACGAGCACCTGGCAAAACATTAACCAAGCAGGTTCATACTGGGAAGGAAAAGCGTCGCATATCCCATCTTGATAGTCCCACAATGAGTGGAAAAGGAAGATCAAAGAAGAAAGGGGACACTCCCCGGTCGAGCACCCGTCAGAGGAATTCTCGTATGATTGGTAGACACAAAGATGACCAT